ACTTTGAAGTTCTGGGAAGGACTTCAAGTAGCGTTTGGTTCAGCGTTGCATCTTAGTACGGCATTCCATCCACAGAAGGACGGTCAGTCGGAGCGTATTATCCAGATTTTGGAGGCTTCGGGCATGTGTACTTGATTTGGGAGGTAGTTGGGAGGATCACCTTCCACTTATTGAGTTTGCCTACAACAACAGTTATCAGGCGAGCATCCAGATGGCTCCATTTGAGGCGTTGTATGGTAGACCTTGTAGGTCTCCTGTTTGTTGGACTGAGGTAGGTGAGACAGCCGCCTTAGGACCCGATATTGTACTCGAGACTACTGAGAAGATTAAGTTGATAAGACAGAGGTTACTTACAGCTCAGAGCCGACAGAAGAGCTAGCGGATAAGCGGAGACGACCGTTATCCTTTGAGGTGGGAGACCACGTTTTTCTACGGGTTTCTCCACGGAAGAGATTGATGAGATTTGGGAAAAGTGGCAAGTTGTCGCCACAATTCATTGGACCATTTGAGATTTTGGACCGTGTAGGAGAGGTTGCCTACAGACTTGCTTTGCCACCACAATTGGATAGGGTCCACAATGTTTTCCATGTATCGATGTTACGGAAGTACGAGCCAGATTCATCTCACATTTTGAGTTGGGTTGATGTAGATATTGATGAGGATGTTTCCTACGAGGAAGAACCAGTTCAGATTCTTGACACACAACAAAAGGTGTTGAGGAACAAGACGATACCAATGGTGAAAGTCCTTTGGAGACACTACGGAGTCGAGGAGGCTACTTAGGAACTCGAACAGGAGGTTCGCTCCAAGTATACAGAGTTATTTTCTTCTCCAGGTATGTCTTGATTTCGGGGACGAAATCTTTTAAAGTTGGGGAAAATGTAATGTCTGTTAGTTATAAAGAAAAAGAGAGAAGAAAAAAAAAAGAAAGGTGGGACCCACAGCTTTTGTAAAATGGTCATAAGACCACGTTTTTTTTTTTTTTTTTTTCATTTTTTCTTGTTCTCTGTTTTCTTCTCTCCCGCAGCCTCTCTGTTCCTCTTTATTTTCTTTTTTCTTTTTTTCTTTTACAACTTTAAATCTTGATTGCTCTCTCAATCCTTGGTAAATTTGAGAGCCGTTTGAGGCAAAACGACGAGCACGACGAGCTCTACGTGCTAGTACCAGAAATTCCAGCTTTTGGTCCTCTTTGGGAGCTCCAATTTAAGAACCCATTTCTAGGGATTTTGCTCATTTTGAGGTAGGGGCATCTTAATCCACTTCTTTCTTGTTCTATTGTGAATTACACCTCCTTGTTGTGTCAAACATGTTTAATTGGGAGTTAATTGTATCTATGATTGTATGAATGATGTCTAGAGAATTTTCAAGAGCTTAATTATGACTTGTTTCATGTGTAAAATATGTTTAGATGTTGCTTTATCATGCCCACTATGTGTTAACATGCTGAAAATGACAAATGAGAACATGTTTATTTAGATTGTGCCAAATTTCCCATTGTCATAATATTGAGATTATATGTACATCCATGCACATGTCATTGGGATGCATGAAATGGGAGAATTTGTCTTGAAATGAAAATGGGGGGAATTTTGGGAGAAGAGTTTTGTCAAATAGTTTTGATAAAGCCGGTCGCTGCGGGGTTACCAACGGGCCGGAGGTTAATATAGCCTAGAGGGGACTAGGGAGTCGCCCTAGCGTGGTTGAGCTATTCGGGCCCCTCGATGACGCTGCGGGGTTACCAAAGGTCTAGGGACGATAGCCAATCCTCCTCTCGTGTCGCGGCGGGGTTACCAAAGGGCGGGCTATATTAACATTTGAAAGTGATGGTTTTGTGAATGAAAAAGGGGAGTGACATTAGCATGCATTGCATTTCATTGCACTGCATGGTTTATAATTGGAAATGACGTGCATATTGTTTTAATTCCCTATATTGCGTGATTCCTATATCCCATTGGCCTATGCTTTGTTTGGATTCACAAGGACACAAGAATTGTGTCTTAAGTGTCACCTACTGAGCTTTATGCTTACCCTACTATTTATATTATTTTTTTCAGGTCTTGGAAATGAACTGGTGGACGACAATCTACCTCAAGCTTGAAAGTTGTTAGAAGGTTGTTTGCTATTTTGTATTTTGACCGTTTTATGTATATTTATAGCTGTGGGGATGTAACTAAGTTAGTATTCATGGCCTTGTAACTTAAGAACGAACTTATCTTTTGTTTGATGTAAATGAAACTAATGGAATTATGGTATATGTTTCCATGCAATTGTATCATGTAACATTGTAAAACAGGGACTTTAAATCTTAACCATGTATTTTGGGACTGTAATTATGTTAATTTAGATTAATTGGTGTGTGGATGTTCCACCATGAGAGGAACTATGTTGAGGTATAATGAATGGATGAATGGGATGCTGGATGATATTATGTGTTTTGTGTTTTGGGACAGGTTGTTGAAGGCCCATTTTTAGGGGAGGTTATGCCGAATTTTTTTAAAATTTTGGCATCAGCTAGGGTCGTTACATTACAAATCTGTTAACACCAAAGATAGTTTGGCTATCTAAAATTTTGAATTGAAAAACATTGGCATGCCCTTAAATATAGCCAAACGGGCACGCCCCTAAAAATTTAAGCCAAATAGTACTCCCCACGAGTAAAAGGTTGAAATCGGACCTGAAGTCAATTAACATCTAAGTCAATCAAGTAGCATTCGATCCATGGGATTGAACCGGTTCCACTTGGGCATGTAGTTTTTTGTTGGCATTGGCTACTGCCAAAGTGCAACTGGTTCCATGGGACGGAACCAGTTCCACTTAGGCAGTGAGTTATTGGGAAGTTACGAGAAACAGTTTCCTAATCAGTCTTGGAAGTCAGAAGACTTGGAGAAAAAGGCTGAAGATTTGGGGAAGAAGTTGTACCTACTATTTTAGAATTGAATACTGATATGACAACTGCTTGTAGGTAAGTTGGGGAATAATTGTCCAACAAGGAATTGGGTTTTGAAGACTTTATAAATAGAGATGGGTTTAGAGAGAGAAGAGAGAAAAGATGTATGGGATTTAAGGGTGAGTATTGTTAGGAAATGGGAGAGTCTGGTTGTATTTTTTCTTCCTTATTCATAATAGTGCAAAATCTCTCTCTCCATGGACCTAACTCAAGAGTTAGATGAACCATGTAAAATATTGTGTTGTCCGTGGATGAATATGATTATTATCTCCATATATGCTTGTGTTGGTGTGATTTGATGATGCTTCCTCTGTGTGTAATGAATGAGGCAAGGACGGAGCCAATATATACCTAAGGGGAGGCCAGCCTCTTATGTAATATATATGGATTTTTAAAATTATATATATATATATATATATATATATATATATATATATATATAGATAGAAATTTATTAAGTTTCCAAAACTATCTTAACTTTTTCCTTTTTTTACCTCATTTACTTTTAAAATTCTTTAATTTCCTTTTTTAAAAAAGTCAATTTTTTCTTATTCAATCATGCTCTAATTTGTTTTGTATAAAGTTATGTTATTTTTCTTTTCCTATTTCTTCTTCTTTGTTTTTTTATTTTTTTATTTTTGTTTTTTTTCCCTTTGACTTCTTAAAATTCTTTGTTTTCTTTTATTTTTTCTTTTGTTACTATGCCGCCTATATTTAAATCCCGACTCCGCCCCTAAAATGAGAGATTTAATTCTTAATAACAGCGGATGGTTTAGTAGATTGGAGGTAGCAAACTATTTCCCAACCCTCAAAGTCCCATTCATTGAGACATCGGAACCTAAAAAACAGAGGTCATTTTTGTCTTCCAAAAGTTGCCTCATTCATAAAAGACCGATCCTTTGATGGAGTCACTTAAGGAATAGTTTGGTAGTTCTCAAATAATTTGAGTTGAATCAGACGTTGGCACCCCCCATTTAAAATTCAGTTTTTAAAAATTATCGGTATTAAATTGTCAATTTTTTCAAGAACTTTGTGAACTTTTGGCAGTTGGACTGTGAGGCTGTATGAGTGACCTCTCGATCAAATGATCGAGAAATCATTACCTAATTGTGAGCTTCTACATTATAGCTTTTTTTCGTCCTTGAAATGTCCTATATATATATATATATAGAGAGAGAGAGAGAGAGAGAGAGAGAGTTCAATTTATAGGCTTGAAAGCTGATACGAAGTAGGTCTGGTTCGGTTAAAATAGAAAAATGAAATATAATAAAATAAAACGACTGCTCTCTCGCCAAATAAATAGGTCTAAATATCATATTATATATATATATATATATATATATATATATTTCTCTTTAGGACAAGAAGATTAAATTAGAAGTTAGATGTGTTAAAGTTTGAAATCGAATTCTCAAAGATAATGGGAAGCAACCCAACCACTGAGTTACGATGAGTTACGAAGTCGTTACATTTTTGTTAAGAAACCAAGTATAAAATATTTTTCAAAAAAAAAAAAAACCAAGTATCAAATGTGAAAAAATTGTGTAATTAATTATAAATGGATCATCTTTCACAATATCGTGAAGAAGAAAACCACCCTCTCCATTCAAATTCTTTGAAATTAAATAAATAAACAATGTGTTGTGCATTCAAATAATTTGATAGTTACTTTTGAGCAATTTATTTCACACCATACCTTTCAAAACTTCTCTCGCAATATATAAGACGCAATCATCATTTCTCATTTTATTAGTAAACAGTACCAACAAATCGATTATGATATAAAAAAATTTGTACGCAGCTCGTGGAAATTAAATACAATATCCAACCAAACAATAATGCATGTTAGACAAACCAAACATAGGACAATTGAATTATGACCTTACCTTATTTATATTCTATTGCTTAGTGTATAATTCATAATTCAGAACCCAATTTTTAAATTTCAACTAGCCAATGTAGCCCTTAGGACACATTTCCTTGTTCATCATTATATATACATGTGCATCTATATAGAAGATAGGAACATCCCTGATTAATTAAACAAGAAAAAATGGAAGTGGGCAAGCAACAGAAGCATTTTGTTCTAACACATGGTGCCTGCCATGGAGCTTGGGTATGGTACAAGGTTAAACCGGAGATCGAGGCGGCCGGCCACCTGTTCACAGCGGTGAACCTTGCGGCTTCCGGCATCAATTCGAAGCAACTAGACGATGTCCGGTCACTCCATGACTATACATTGCCGTTGTTGGAGGTCCTGGAGGCGATTCCTCAAGGTGAAAAGGTGATACTAGTGGGACATAGTGGTGGTGGCATGAGTGCTGCTCTTGCTATGGAGAAGTACCCTGAGAAGATCTCTGTAGCCGTCTTCCTCAATGCAATCATGCCTGATAGCACAAACGGGCCATCCTTCGTTCTCGATAAGGTATCATATTCATGATTTACAAACCGAAAAAATAAGATGATCACATTATACATTCATGTGAGGTCTATATATGATGATGTCTTATTAATTTCTTTTCTTATTACACGTGTCTCAGCGCACGTTAATATATAGTACAATGGATCAATATTCGATTTAGAATAGATTCTGATTTAATATGTCATTATTTGAATAAAATTAATCAAGTAAGGACCCATTGTTAAAAAGTATATCAACGTTACATTCAATATTTAGGAATTTTTGTTGTGAATTGTGCTTCCTAATTTATTTTTATTTTATTTTTTCCTATTTTTGCTCTAAAAAGTATGCTGGAGGGACTCCACCGGAAGCGTGGATGGACACACAGTTTGCAGCATTTGGTGACCCCAACGAACCTCTAATATCATTGGCTGTAGGCCCCAAATTCATGAAATCCACCCTCTATCATCTCTGCTCCACTGAGGTAAGCCCCTAATCTCTCTCTCTCTCTCTCACACACACACCCAGTAAACAGGTGTACATGCTACAACAAATTTGGAATCAAATCGGAATTAGTTCAGATGATACGAGATCTCCGTAAACGAGAAGTTTAAGTGTTTGAATCTTGTTAGGGACAAGATGTTGGGGACATTGTTGTTAATTATTTGTATATATATATATATTTTTTCAACAGGATTATACATTGGGAACATTGTTGGTAAGGCCAGGATCATTATTCATGGAAGATTTACACAAGTTGGATAAGTTCACGAATGAAGGATTTGGATCAGTTCCGAGAATTTATGTTGTATGCACCGAAGATAAAACGATACCAGCGGAATTCCAGCGCTGGATGATCGAAAACAACCCGGTGAAAGAGGTGAAGGAGATTGAAGGTGCAGACCATATGCCAATGTTTTCAAAGTCAGACCAAGTATGCAAGTGTTTCCTTGAGATTGCAGCTGAATACAATTGAAAGAAAAACAGGGTTTTTCACCAACCTTTTTGTTGTCAATTGTGATGCTGCTAATGATCTGTTGCTGTTTCCTTTGTAATTTCAATAAACCTACATTTGTGTTGACCCCACAATGCTGTCCTGAAGTGCATGGGTAGAACATGCAGTTGGAATAAAAACTAATGTATCATTATTTCATATTCTATGCAATGAAGCTATAATTTCTTTCCATTAAGAAAGTTATAGGGTAAAATGTCAATAAAACAATTAGTCCAGTATACGTGGAATTGCTAGGAAGACAAGATTATAAACAAACAAAATATTTGGTTTTAGAAACAGAAACATAGATTTGATCTAGGCCACTACTCACTGAGTTTGGACCAACTCACAACTTTGTTAGTGTTCACCGAGGCCGATTGAAAATATTTGATATTGAAATAAATATTCATACAGATTCGATTTAGATCAACCACTCATAGAATTTGGACCAACTCACAACTCAGTGAGTATCAACTAGACAAAAATAAATTTCAACCTGTATGAAAGCTTAATTTTTTTATCAATTATATCATGCCCCAAAGTTGAGGTCAAGACACTATTGACTTTTTACTGGACAATTGTGTGACTTAATATCACAATTTTCACAATAAAATTAACTCCACAATGACGAATAATAATAATTTGTTGTCAATTTTTTTCCTACATAATATAAATTAATGACAACCATAATTCCATGTCTACATAACATAAACCAACTGATATTCAAAAAGTAAATAAAATCCCACCATAAATTATCCTACTACAAGTAGTCCTCGCTACATAAGGTATATCTTCATCACACTCACGCAATAAAAAGACGGATCTAAACAGACCTTATGTAGCAAGGACTATTTGTAGTAGGATAATTTATGGTGGGATTTTATTTACTTTCTGAATATCAGTTGGTTTATGCTATGTGGATATGGAATTATGGTTGTCATCCACATAACATAAACAACTGATATTCAGAAAGTAAATAAACATATAAACTATGACAACCATAATTCCATGTCCACATAACATAAACCAACTGATATTCAGAAAGTAAATAAAATCCCACCATAAATTATCCTACTACAAGTAGTCCTCACTACATAAGGTCTGCTTAGACGGATATTGTTGAATGGTAAAATAAAACTATAAGCATGTGCACCATGTATGGTCTGCCTCAACAATGCAGCCAAGCAACAATCTGAAACACCTGAAATGTGGGAAAAAAATAAGGGTGAGCTAGAAAAACCATTAAGTAATATTTTAGCAATGAATTTAACAATAACATGTAAAAATAAGAGAGATTAATTAACTCTAAATGCATGCTCAAAACATAATTAAAACTAAAATGTCCTTCGCTAGGGCTAACACAGAGCCTTAATACCAACTAGGACCTCCCTTAAGGTCATACACAACAACCAACAATCCAACAATTAAAGAACACTAGTCTCTAAAAGTCACTCGTAATTAAACTTCTCAATTCGATCCACAACTCTCAAGGTAATTTTGAGAAAATATACCACCTCACTCAACATATACCATAGTGATAGGACTTGTACATGTCATGCACTGAATCCCAACCCCGGACTCTGTGATAAAAGGAAAGAGAAAATGAAGGGTATGAACACAAATATTCTTTAGACAAAAACTCTCTCTTCCCTTTTCTCTCATTTAAAAATGGAGTGTGAAAAATAAAATTCAATTATATTCCAACGATTAGTATTCATGAGCATTAGGCAATTCTGTCAAACAAATCTTTGGGATCTCCCATGGATCCCCTTCCTGAACACCTTACCTTCAAAGTTAATAACTACAATTTGAGGATTCAATTTGAAGTCAAATTTCATCCAATTTGGATTTAAAATGAGTAATGAATTTTCAAAGTTGGGTTAGTGTTGCTGAATTAACAGCACTTTGACTGCAGATCAGTCCTGTTAGAAATTCAAATTCTCTCAAAGCAAAAAAGCATTCACTGTTAAACTTTCCAGATCAGTTCTACCATGAACTACTTTCAAACCCCCAAAGAATCATCCAAAAACTCAATGTACAACTCAAGTTATGATACAATTAAGACACAGGACAGATTCTGCACACCCCTGATATATTAAACTAAAGCTAAGACAAATAAATTTCTAATCATTTAAGTCTCAAAAAATTATTCAAAATATCAAGGGAGTTATGAGGCTCGCAACTGGACTGTACTAGAGGAGGTCTTTCTAAAATGCTAAAAACAAGCTTAACAATTCAAGTGAATACAAGTAATTAATCTATAACCTGTTATGACCAAGGTTAACATGTTCATACATGTAGTACCAAAATAATTGAACTTAAACATATTTCTTTCATTTTTCTCTCATTTAAAAATGGAGTGTGCAAAGTAAAATTCAATTTCTATTCCAACGACGGTTTATAAACATCTGGTGTTGAAGAAATTAGCATTAATGGACATTAGGTAAGTCTGTCAGAAAATCTTAGGGATCTCCCATGGATCCCCATACTAAACACCTTACAATTTGAGTTAATAACTCCCAGTGTGGTTGGAATTTTTAAATGAAACTAATCTAGATGAAAAGTAGACTTCAAAACATTCAATTTGGATGCAAATCTCACCCAATTTGAATTTAAAATGAGTAAGTTATGATTTTTCAAAGTTGGGTCAATGTTTCTGAATTAACAGCACTTTCAGACTGCAAATCAGTCCTGTTCGAAATTCAAATTCTTTCAAAGCATATAAGATTTTACTGTGAAACTTTCCAAATCAGTTGTACCATGAATCTACTTTTAAACCCCACTAGAATCATCCAAAAACTCAAAGTACAACTCGAGTTATGACAAAATTAAGACATATAAGTCAGATTCTGTACTCCTGAAATAAAACCTAAATAACTCATTCAAGTTATGTCCAACCTAGACCCCTGATATACCAAATTAAAGCCAAGACAAAATACCTTTCCAAACATACAAGTCTAAAAAATTTATTCAAAATATTAAGGGAGCAGTAAGCCTCAAAACTGGACTGTACTACAGGAAGTCTTTCCAAAGATACTAAAAACAAAGTTTAACATTTCAAGTGACTACAAGTAATTAAGCTAACACATGTTATGACCAAGGGTAGTAAGTTCATACATGTACTACCAAAATAACTTATACATATTTCAAATAAGTTGCACATAGATCTGGACTGCCAATGTCTTAAAGCAATCCAAATGTGTTCTCACGTCTGTAGGTCAGGTAAAGGAGACCATCTTCGTTGTCCCGGTTCTCCGCATAAATGTCAGCCATCGTAGCCGCTGCAACATTGAAAACATTATCCTATAATAGTGAACGGAAACTAACATGGCATGGATGGAAAGCATAGAATTGATAAAGATAATGAATCTCACCAGGTTGGTTGTTCTGGACGAAAACGACTATAGCCCTCTCAGGAGGCGGCTGAATCCTCTTCCGCACCACATTGATAAACTGTCCAACAGTGAGATCACCAGGAACAACGTATCTACACATCCCACTAAGAAAATTATTCATACTTGGAATAATGGAAGCATATCAGACTCTCTAGACCCATAATGGGTGTAAATAACTCTTCAAATCTAATGATCACTTATCATGTTCTAAAAAGTAATATTTATATCCAGGCTTCATACTTTGGCCTGTAATCGGAAACTCTGACTATTACATTTGTGCATATTTCTTTAAAATGCATAACGAATTGTCAAACAATTTGGCCATAGATGCCTGATAAAAAATATGAGCTTCTACCTTAAAAATCGTTGAGCAATTCAATGCAGCGATAACTTATCTTTATCTTGTTAAAGTCACGCCTTTCAAATCAAAGAAATAATTATAGTGTTGTCTAATAGCTCAACTAACTGTTTAAAACTGTAAATTTTCAGTGCTTATATTGTAAATTGTCTGATAGGAATCACTTTAACATTAAGTTCCAATTAAAAAGGGAATTAAATAGGATGCCTTGACAATGCCATTGCCCCTCCTTCCCGGCCACCTTTTTTTGGGATTGGGGGGTGCAAGGTCTCAAATATGATGCCTAGAGACCTTACATTCATAACATTGATTAAAGCCTACTTTACAAACATTCATGTTTCTAACCGAGTCAATAGCAACCATCAGGTCAATCTAATAATACGAGGAACAAACTATAAAACTATCAAGTTATAAAAGTATCTCACTTTTCACCAGTGCCTGGTGCAGTAGACATTTCAAACCTATGCAGAAAAAGGGAGGATAGAGAAGGGGGGAGGGGGGTGATCAGGCAAAAGAAGCCAGAAACACCATTTTCTTTAACATATATAGATGTTACATTATAAATATAAATGATATATAAGCATGCCAACCAGTTGCCAAGGATTTGCTCACCACCACTCTTATGTTATAATATAAAGAGTCGCATACCATCACAAATGAAACATCCTATCTACAAAACTACAACGGTAAATAATAGAATAAAAGAGAAAAAATCAAATAGACCAACTAACAATGTACAACTCAAGTTATGATACAATTAAGACACAGGTCAGATTCTGCACACCCCTGATATCTTAAACTAAAGCTAAGACAAGTAAATTTCTAATCATTTAAGTCTCAAAAAATTATTCAAAATATCAAGGGAGTTATGAGGCTCACAACTGGACTGTACTACAGGAGGTCTTTCTAAAATGCTAAAAACAAGCTTAACAATTCAAGTGAGTACAAGTAATTAATCTATAACCTGTTATGACCAAGGTTAACATGTTCATACATGTACCAAAATAATTGAACTTAAAACATATTTCAAATAACTCCGGACATCATCTTTCTCAGACAAATGGGTTACTACAAGTATTAACATCCAACATCTCCATGTCCCTTGATGGCTATTCTTCCAGATTTTTATCTTCAAAATGGTAGGAGGGAGCATCATAGCCCAGTAGGTAGATGTTAAACATGCATTTACCAACACTATCAATTAACAAATACGAATGCGATGCATGATATTTATGCGAAATGCCACAAGATGTAATAATTGTTGATTACGGCAGACGTGGGTCTGCCACTCTCCCTTATTATTGGCTCAAATTTGGTATAGTGGTTTGGATAATGCTGCACTATCTCCAATATTGCTCCACTAGCTGGATAATGCTCCATTATCTGCACTCCACTATCCACATATATATCAGCTAAATTCATGCATCGGTTCTCTTATAAATAGAGAACGTTGGAAGACTTTGAGATATATCCAAAAATACACCAAGAGCTTCAGTGAGTTTTGAGTGAGCAATAAGTGTGAAGAGAAATATTGTATAAATCAATCTCCCATGTATATTATCATGTAATAAATTTTCAAACAAGATTACCCATCAATCTCCATATATCATTCTTCCAAGTATACCTACACATACCAACATTTCAAAGAATGTATACTCATCAAATCTCTATATTATAAGACTTCAAGTTTGTGTTTCTCCCAAAACTCCCTAATTTCTCATTTGCTTGAAACTCCTTACATGAAGCAAAGAATAAAACCACTAGCTAATATAACCCACACCCCAACAAAACCATGTTTAACATACCAAGCTTGGATAAGTAAAACTAAACAGGACTATTTGGTAAAAAAATCCTACCCATTTATAACATTCCTCCTTTGAAGACATTTTATCAAATACCTTTCATGCATAACCTCAAGAAACTTTGACTATTATGGGTTAGATATATATTCAATAATTAATACGGTTGGTGTAGAAATTTTTTGAAATGAGGAGATGGAAAAAATATATGAGATAAGGATAGAAATTAGGAGTTTTAATAGGGGTGAAATGAAATTTTTTAGAATTAATTAAATTCTTTGCTCACTATAAAATCTCTATTATTGGTTAGGTATAATAAAATAAAGAAATAAAAATTTAGAAAGTCTAATAATATAAAAATATATATAATTTTAGGGGCTTTTTTATTAACCGGGGTCTTAGGTGACTGACCTAATTTGCCTAAGGCACTAATCAGTAATTGGTCATGTGTGTGTGTGTGTGTGTGTGTGTATATATATATATATATATATATATATATCAAATGAACATGCCTTAGAAAATAAATGGGCTTATTAGCTTTTTTCACATACCATTTTAATTTAGGGCGGATCCAGGATTTCTCAATGGGGTGGGCTAAATCAAAATATATCTAAGTATAAAGTTACAAACATATATATATATATATATATATATATGTGTGTGTGTGTGTGTGTGTGTGTGTGTATAATATATATATATATATATATATATATATATATGTGTGTGTGTGTATAATATACGTAGTATCATATTAGATTAGTAAAGTAAGTTATAAATATATAATATTAATTATTGTCTTTATCTGTAACTTTGAGTGCAGCGAGCTTTCCATTTCATTGTTGTACACTTCCTAGATCAGATGCATGAAACAAGCCAAAAGCTTACAACCCTATCGTTGGTTCACAGTTGTTCTACACTTTTGTGCCCCATATATCTTTCTCTCTACAAGTCCATATCTATAGAAGTATCCCATGCCAATATTAGTCAAGACGCTCAGAGAACTTATTTTGTCCTAAGTTGAGTATTTCTTATTGGTGGACTCTCTCTTCTTTGCTATTTCAGTTTCAACATTTTAGAAGCTCTGTTAATGCTCAAACTAATAAAGTTAAATTAAAATTGCATAGAGTCTTCTTTTTCTTTTTCACAGATAAAACTAGAGTTTAGAGAGATGAAAAAGAAGACAGACCAAGTAAATGAATCATATTACACACCATTGTTTCAGGATTTCACGAACTGAAAAATCGTGTGTGAAGTGACCAAAGATTCTTGTAACTAAAAAAATTAGACACTATGCTCAATAGTATGTCTTCAACTCTAAATTTCCTTCAATTCTAAGTGTTTTGACTTAATTTAAGTGCACCAACATATTATCAACATCATCAGTCATCATCACTAGAATCAACGTTGACATCAACATTCTCATAACGTTAACATTAACATCTTCATCTATAATCACATAATCCTCTTGTATAGATATACATTTGATTAAGATAAATTGAAAAGAGACTTCCTATCATAATTGGTCATTTTAAAACCAACATCATTGCTACAACAGTAAGGGGATTTATAATTCAATTAGCTAGGCAAAAAAAAAAAAACATACCTTTTTCCCTACTCCACCCATTCCTATCAACTCTCTTCCTTCATAAAAGAGACCTATATTATTAAGATAAAAGAAGAAAAGTTTTAAAAGTGTTAACAAACTTGTAAAACACATATTCTGAAATTGAAAACTAAACTTCCAAATCTTTAATTCCCATTAATAAATTTTCAAGCATCACATCATAACAATATTATATATATATGTATGTAGAAACAAAAATAAAAACAAAAAATCAGTATGTAGAACATGAATAAATAAACGTAACCAATAGCTAAAAATGTCAATTAAAATTTTAGAAAAACTAAGAGTTTATTACCTGATGACTGAGGAGGCAAGTTTCTTGAGCCTTGTTCTTGGTAAATGTTAAGGCCCGATGTTAACCCTAAAAATAAGAAAACACTTAAGTTGTGAGGGAGAGGCTTCACAATCTCACTCATAACAATTAAAACACCACCATCTAATTACTATATGTATCATGTATCAACCCAACCCAACTATGCTTTTATTCAAAATGTTGGACACCTATCCGTAGAAAGAGGTGTGATTACGGATAGGTGTGATTAGCCACATATTATACTCAGTTCTTATATTAAATTAATCCAATAACAAAGTACAATACATCAGTTTTGGAATAATCTTCAAAATTAACAAATCAATATCATGATATTCTGCATTCTAATAACAAAAGAAAATCAAAAACCAAAATTTGAAAATAAAAATATGGCAGAAAGATTGAATATATCCTTCGTGCATTACACAGATTATATTTCTATGTGAAACAAAAGATTCAAGATTTCTCAATGTTGTGGGCTAAATCAAAATATATCAACCAAAATCAACTGTTGTTTAATTCAATTTTAGTTAACTAACAATGTTTCTTTACACAATTGACTGATTAAGGCATATAAAATCCTATATGGGTAATTAATAAAAAAAAAAATACCAATTTATTTATGAACAATTCACCACTCAGTATCTGTAACGACCCAAACCTATAGATCTGAACCGTTAGCCGGGTCCTTAACCGAACCCGAAGTCAACTAAAGACAACACCATTCTTTCCTACGTCAATACATATTATACGTGTCATTTTGAATTTATAAAAAAATAAGTAATAATAAATAAATAAATAAATAATAAAATGTGATTATAGCTACAAAGTATGTCAAAACGGTCTACTAACCCATCAAACCCTGTGGAGGAGCGTCGTCCGCCACTTGCCATCCGTGTCCTGAAAAATGTTAAATGTAATGGGGTGAGCAAATTGCTCGGTAGGTAGCGCCTAAGACCCACCTCTTGTAACCCCGTGAATCCAAACAATGAATAGGACAATAAGGAACGGGGTCATACAAAGCCCGAAAAAAAAATACAATATACATTTTCAAGTCCAAAACAAAATAATGTCATGCCATGAATGCAATGTCATGCATGTCACTCCCCATTTTCCAAAACCATTCCCATCATCATTTCCAAATAGTTAGTGAACCCGTCCCATGGCAACTCCATGGCGGCACGAGAGGAGGATTGGCCATTGTCCCTGACCCATGGCAACTCCATGGCGTCATTTGGGACCCAGGTAACTCAACCACACTAGGGCAATCTCCCTAATCCCCCCTAGGTCTCACTAACGCCGCGGTCCCTAGGCAACTCCTAGGCGGCCAGGTTTTCTCAAAACCGTTTCATCAAATTCTCCCCAAAAATCCCTTTTTTCATTCTTATCAAATCTTTATACCCTTTTTCATGCCCATGCTATGAATGCATATCACCTGTCTTTTTAATACTATGGAAATGGAGAGAATTATTATCACACAATTAACAAACTGCCACATAAAATTTCTAATAAATTATTAAGCATCATAGGCATGGACAAATTAACATATTAAGCATACTCCACAATAATTCTTAGAAAATTTTCATAAGCTTCCATGTATCATTTTTAGTAATTTTATCAACACAATAACATAAAGAAATTAATAATGAAGCATGACAAGTAATTCTAAGGAAATTTCCCTAAGCTTCTATATATCATTTCTAGCCAATTCAACAACATAATAAGCATGAAAAATTAACATTTAAACATACTTTCTATACAAATCCAACAATACACCCAATAACATGCTTCACATACCCAAGTGAATAAATTTTTAAAAAAACAATCAACTCAAATTAAACATACTTAACATGGATTATAGTAGAAAATTCACAAAGGTGCAAGAAAAATGGGAATTAAAGACCCCTACCTCAATCTAAGCCAAAAGTCCCAATTTTCACCTCAAACCCTCAAAATGGGGTCTCAATTTTTGGACTTCCTAGAGTGGCCAAAAGTTGAAAATGCTGGTATGGATTTGAAGATCTCGTCGTGGGCTTCAATTTGCCGCAAACGGCATTTAAAAATTCCAAGTATTGTGTAAGAAATCTAGGATCAAAGTTTGAAGTAAAAAAAAGAAAAAAGAAAAAGAGACTTTGAGAGGGTGACAGAGAGCTTCGGGAGTGAGTGAGAAAATTGAGAGACCAAGTGGTCTCTAGACCACTTAATGTGGTTATGGGCCCCACTTTTTTGTTTTCCTTTTTCTTTTGCCATCATTTTACACCACACACAAACATATACACACAAAATAATGCGCAACTTTATACAAGACATTAAATAAAATAAATATGATGTAAATGGACCCAACTAAAATCCCCAGATGCAACAATTCCGATAGCGGGTCCCATACGAGACCGTCTGGCCCAAAAAACTGAAAAAATGCAAAAATGATCACCCTTGCATTTCAATGAGTTTTGGACTCAATGAAATATCCCAAAAAACTCTCGGGCACAATCAATACACTC